CCCCGGTCCCGCACAGCCCTGGCTCAGCGACGCCGAGGACGCCCCGTTCCTCGACCCCGTCCTGCGCAAACGCGCCGTGAAGGTCAAGCACGTCAAGCGCCGCGAGAAGAAGTCGGACAAGAAGGTGGGGCGGGGAGGGCACTGGGGGCAACTGGGAGGGTTCTGGAGAGGTGCTGGTCCTAACTGGTGGCCACTGGTGCAGAAGGAGGAGCGGTACAAGCGGCACCGGCAGCGCGCCCGGCACCGGGAGCGCCGGGGACACCCCGAACGCGCCGACGCCCGGGACCCCGCGGGGCTGGGCCAGTGTCTGGGGCCCGGCTGCACCCGCCCTGCCCGCCCCCCCTCCAAGTACTGCAGCGAGGCCTGTGGCATCAAACTGGCTGCCAAGTGAGTACCCACGAGTACGGACCAGTACAGACTGGTATAGGCCAGTACAGATAGGTACAGACCAGTACAAACTAGTACATGTAGCTACAGACCAGTACAAACCAGTACAGTTGGGTACAGACCAGTACAAACTGGTACAGATAGGAACAGACGGGTACAAATCAGTACAGATGGGTACAGACTGGTACAAACTGGTACAGATAGGTACAGAGCGGTACAAACCAGTACAGATAGATACAGACCAGTACAAACCGGTACAGATAGATACAGACTGGTACAAACCAGTACAGGTAACTATGGAGTGGTATAGACCAGTAATGACATTTATAAACTCATATAAAGTAGTGCAGACCAGTAATGACTTGTATAGGTTGATAGAAATAACTGTAGACCAGTATAGATTGCCACAGACCGGTATAAACCGGCATACACTGGTAGTGACCTGTGTAGACCAGTATAAACTAGTCCAGACCAATAACAAGCTGTATGGACCGATACAAACCAGTACAGACCAGACCAGGACAGAGCAGAGCCCCTTTGGATCCGGGGGGCCGGTCCTCCCCCCATGTGCCCCCTCCCCAGGTCCCAGCTGGCCCAGTGAGATCCCACCCCCGGGATCCTGGGAGGGATCCCACACTCAGTGCCAGCATCCCAGGGGGGCCTGTTAACCCCATCCCACCCCCATTCCCAGCCGGATCTACGAGATCCTGCCGCAGCGGATCCAGCAGTGGCAGCAGAGCCCGTGCGTGGCCGAGGAACACGGGAAGCGGCTCCTGGAGCGGATCCGGCGGGAGCAGCACCAGGCGCGGCTGCGGCTGCAGGAGATGGAGCGGCGCTTCCACGAGCTCGAGGGGCTCATCGCCCGCGCCAAGGGGCACCCGCCCCGCGAGGATGAGGAGGTGGGGACCCCCCGAAACCCTCCAGGACCTCTCTGGGGTCTCCCAAATTCCCCTGAGCTCCGAAATCCCCTGGGACCCCCAAACCCCTCCCACAAGCTCGAGGGGCTCATTGCCCGCATGAAGGGGTACCTGACCCGTGAGGATGAGGAGGGGGCGACCCCCAAAGTCCCCCTGAAGCCCAAAATCCCCCAGGATCTCCAAGCCCCATCCATGAACTCGAGGTGTCCGCGCCAAGGGACACCCACCCCGCAAGGATGAGGAGGTGGTGGCACCCAGGGACCCCAAAACCCCCAGGGACCCCTGAACATCAACACACACCTCCTGGAGGTTTGG